TTGTGGGAAATTGTAATGGTTATGATTATTTGGTAACAGGACATCGTGTCGTCTAATTCAGTCTGTAATCATACTTGTGATTAACAAATCGGACTCCCGCTTCGCGGATGTCCGGCGATTTTCTTAATCACTCGCATGCTTACAGACCGAATTGGACTCCATTCAGTCCTATTACCATTATTAATTCACACTTCTCTCCCCTTCACATTGTCCTTAGCAGATTAGAATATAGTTTATGAGCCGGTGGCACCAGCATGGTAGATCAGTGAAACATATTCCTTGGTACTTTTACCATCATCTCTTTCCTTGATATCGTAAGGCTCCCCTTAATTTGTTTGTTATTGCAATATTTTCTCGTTATGCAAGTCCAAATACTGATCTCATCGCTAGCACCAGCCAGGCACAAAGAGAATTGTCATTTCTTTATCGAGACATATTTGTCTGGCAAATAAACTTAGTTAATTACTGACATGACCAAGAAAGTACCTTCATCAGTCTGTTCGTCACAGAGATCTATGCGCAGTCCCCTAAATTCGCAAGAAATTGGCCACCCAAAACACAGTAAGTTTGTAACTTTCTAAACTTCACTTTACAAGCCTTTGTTTACACCACATCTCAACATCATGCTGCTTACAGTCACGGTCATCTTTTACTAATTCTAACCTTAGCCTATAATCATTCCACTGGACTTTTCTTTTACAAAAAATGTTTTGTTTCGGCAAAGTCTTGAAAATAAAACAAACATTTGTATGAAAAGACTGTACTCTGAAGTTTGCATAACAACTTACCTGACAACAGTGTACGGAATAAAAAACCAAACCAACTTCTTTAAATTCACTCGGAATGCGCCTTGCGTATTGTCACTACAATAAAAAAGGTATTTTCTTTGGTAACAAACTTAAATTGCTGTACTTGGCATCAGTAGAGTCCTCTCACGAAAGATAAATTGTAGATTCGCGGCCACTTGAAATGAAATAGCACGAGCTCGTTCGTTCTTTATAATTAACCATGCTCTTCACAAACTATCGTCAACTTCTTTGATATGCTAATAGTTCATTCAATAACTTTTCGCTCAAGTTAAGAACTTAATTAGTTGCTTACATTTCTATTGGTGCGTTGCTTTCTGGCAAACATAAGAAATAAAGCGGATTTAAGTGCCTTTTCACAGTAGCCGTTGTTAAGTGAGGGATATGTAAATAACTGTAATACTTTGTAATTAAGTACAGTAAGAATCTCTGAGATACTCAGGTGTTCTACGGATGAAACTGAGAATACAACATCAGTCAAGTGGAACCACAGGTAAATAAAGTTCAATGAAAGTAATCTCTATGCTTAGTACAAGATCCTATATCATATTATTGAAGGATGCTGTGCTGTTAAAAATGCAAGTCTGGATTGGCAGACATCAGAGTCAATATTTTGCGTAAGCTGTGAAGGGCATGCCTAAGGAGTGTGTCTACTGCTACTGCGCACGCCAAAGACTTGCGTTGTCTTCATTTGCTCATCAGTTTGCTCCTACCCTAATAAATCAGGGGGAGGGGCTACCACTGAAGTGTGATGTTAATATAGCTGGATATTTGGCCAAGCACTGTCTGCGTGTGACGGACCGAGACGCAGTCAAGTTTCGTAGAGACCCAAAAGAATCATGTTCGGTCAATATCCAGCCATCTTGAGCTTCCAAGCTTGGTCAATCACAAAAAAAGACCATTTTCTTTCGGAAGCAATTTTTTCCAACCTGGTTAGCTTATGTCAGCTGATGTGAGCATGGATGTTTCCTCGTGCATAACTGCTGTTGATGTCAAGTTTTCAAACTGAAAGATATATGGCTGATATTTGCAGTTTATGTGACAATGTCAGCAGATCCCGTAGCAAGGAAAGCCCGTATTCCCTCGTAGACCCCTCTAATGATTGATCAACTCGTAGTCAGTAATCGCAACGACCATTTGGAAACAACTTTTCACCGATCGAATACAGAGAACCAGCCTTAAGTTGAAGAACGTTTACCTCACCATTTCAAATCCTTGTGCAGCCCGATTTCTTTTTTCAAGTTTTTGATTTGCAATTACCCAGGTTGTCATAAAACAATTAAGTTCATTTTTCAGGGTTTTTTTAAAAGCTGACAATGGACAACTGTTTTATTGCAACCTTAATTTAATAATTCCCTCAACCGCAGTTCACTTGTATAAACATGAATGATTTATTTCAGTACTACGGAGTCAAATAAATAGTCAGTTTAAACCCGCCGGCTCAACAGATAATTTTATTGAACAAGTTATCACAACTAAACAACGGACTAATGGTAAGACAAAATGACAAACAATGAAATAAGTGACAATGAGATACAGCGACAAACGTTACTGCAACACTGATGAGATACAGAAAGACAAAACTGAATTGAGTGTAAGAGGCAAAAACCTAACACATACAATAACTCGGCCGCCGGGAAACAGAAGCTAATTAAGGGTATATAAACTAGTAAAAACTGCCCTAAACGATAGTCAAAAATTCCTGTCACTTATATTTGACAAATTGTGAAATTAATGTCCCTTTGGGTGTATAGTCAGGTTAAAATTCTTCTTACTGCTTAAAATTATTTTAACATTCCCAAGTTCCTCTTTTCATTCAAATCCGATTTGGCGGCTATAAAATCTGCTATTTTGGATTTAAACACCAAGAGGACTACGGTTCCAAGTCCCATCAAATAAAATTAAAACGAAAGGAGTTTAAAGTCTAAGCATAATTCTGGCCGAAAAGGACGCGTTCGATAGAGAAATATTAGAGCTTCGTTAGCTTCGATGTTGCAGTGAAAAAACGAATTCTAAATAAACTAGGACGAAGGTTGAAAAACGAACAGGGAATAAAGGAGCTGGGGGAGAAATCAAGAGGATGAGTGGGGGTAGCTTAATAGCGCTATGTATGAAACAGAAATGAGGAATATAAGCTAAAAATTTGGATTATATTTGAGAAAAAAGGTAATTCTGACACTAATGCTCGTAAACTAAGCTTCCTCTCCGTTTGCTCTCTTCATTTATACCATGCCATAGAAAATACAGCCAATCAGAAGACAGGAAAGCCGTTGTATATTCGACGGTTTTACACCCAACCTTCCCATCGTGCCCCACAGGTATGTGGTATTGACTGTGTTGCATGGCCACTGTATTTTCTATGGCATGGTATAAAATGGTTATGCAACACTGTCTAGTAGCATACCATACAATATCCCCGGGAGGGGTACTCCCAGAAAAATTGGGTGGGGGTGTGCGGCCCACTTCCCAAAACCATTACCCTATTTATGACCAAAAACTGCGATATTCCCTACCCTATTTATGACCTGACCAAATATTCGATACCCTATTTATGACCTAACCCCTAAATCAAAACCTGTTTCAGACCTGCATTATAATTAGTTCCCTAGTTCAGACCAAGGCTAAATTACTGAAAGCATAATTTGTGAAGGGCTTTTGTTGATTTTTCGATAATGACGAAAAAGTGGCTTTTTCTTAAAAACACACCCATATTAAGGCTAGAGTGCAAAAACCATACTCTATTTATGATTAAAATGGCCAAAATCAGCTAAAATCGATACCCTATTTATGACCAAAACGGCTGAAAAACCATACCCTCTGGGGCCGCACCTACCTATATAGCCCATATAGGGGAGTACCCCCCCCCCCCAGGACAATATCCCATACACTTGCCACTTGTGTTTACTTAGTATACACTCGCCTAAAGGCTTGTGTGTATACCAAGAAAATACAAGTGACTCGTTGGATTTCCCATGGCATAGCACTCGAAAGCGTTACGTTGCTTACCTGCTATTTCTGCTGCTCCTCAACGGATACATTTCGGCACAAGATAGTACTGTTTGAATCATCTACACTAGCTAATACTTAATTTAACTAATTTTCTTGTGTCAGCAGCCTATAGTTTGATTCCATCCACCAAAAGGTCTCGTAAAACAATAATCGCCAACATCTGATACAGCTAAACAATGATCACGGATCACAGGCTCCATGAGGAGTCCCACTACCCCGGCACAAAATGTCCCCGCACCCATCCCGATGGTAGCGAATCCCATGGAAAATTCTTTGAACTTAGCATCAGTCTCTGAAACCACCACAAAAGCGTTTGTGAAAGCCGCGCCCGCTCCTAGGCCAGCGCCAAAGATTAAAATAAAAACGATCCAGACGTCATGTAAGAATCGATACCACGCAGCCAGCGTGAAAAAGACTAACTGACCCATCAGTATCAACGACAGAATCCATATCCGTCTGATTGCAAATACGTTAACGAGACTGGGCTTTAGCGACGCAATGACAGCTAGATACGACCTGGCAATAAATTCACCGCTCAAAAATATAAAAATATAGTATCTGTAATGAACTCTTGGTGGGAATGGAGCATTTGGAAATGCCATTGTAGTGATGACAGACTGTATGATGACGTATTCGCTGACGTAGGCAACAAACAGAGCTATAACCAATGGGAGAATATGTCCAGCTGCAGAAAGTTTCTCTTTCCACGTGACTGTGTGTGGTTCCGTTCCATTGCTATCTTCCGGCGTAGAATCTAGTTTTACAGCTTTAGAGTGTTTTTTCTCCATGATGGCATAACATAGCAGATAAAGAAGAGGCGACCCCGCCATTATTAGCATAGCGTTGTTTGGCGAGACACAACTCCATGTTGTTAGACCTGCGAAAAATAATGAACGAAGATTTTAAGGCAAAGACGATATCTTATTCTTGAGAGTTTCTTCTAAAACAGTCCCGAAAACAAGTCCTGCTTTGAGAAAGTATTCGTTTAAGCACTCGGCACGTTTTCGATCTTTATTACCCAATCAAAACCTGACGCGAGCTCGCACGATCATTGCACTCCGACAACAGTCACATCAGCATGGTACCCGGCCCAATGACAACGCCATGTTGCTTACAACTTTGACTTTGACCACGTAAACTACAGGCTCGGAGGCGAGACGTTGCTATTTGTATTTCCCCCTCCGAATGAAAACAGAGGCCGAAACTTGAGCTGCTGGCAATCAAGCACAGTTACTGCTTTAATTATTTTTTGAAAAAAATCATTAACTGTCTCTTTGAGTGTACTCTATTGGGAAGAAACTAAACCAACCCAAACACGGGCCAAAATGGCACAGCATTCTCGTAATCTGTCACAGGTATTTTAGAAATAAAAAAGACGTCTCAGTATGATAAGAGAGAAAACTAATAACCGAACAGAGAGATCCTGTAATACCTTAATTAAGTGGAAGTATCGAAGTCTTTCAATGACAGAGCTTATTCTTAAACCTAATGATGAAAGGATAAGAGGTAAACTACTATTGAATGGATTGGAGATTTTTCGTGGGAGGTTATTATTTGCCCTGCTTGCTGGAATGTTTTATTTTGCTTTCCAGGTGCCAGGGCGGGAAACAACTCAAGAATGAGGATTGAAGTTTTCAGATATATGCCAATTTTCCTTCAATCACAAAACAAAGTTAGTTCGTATAGTGTGATCGTCCGGGTGATGGTAGTTCTGAAAAGAACCGTTGTTTGTGACTGACGTTTCGACAACCTCAGCTGAAGTCATCTTCAGAGTCAAGTGAACAAAGTTAGCGACGATTTTTGATGTACAATTAGTTTGGGTCAGTAAATCCACTTTTTCTAAGCGTGCGTTTGCTATATTCAGTTTCCGACGTAAATGAAACAAAGTCTAACATTGCGTGAGATAAGATCGACACAATTTCTTCGAGCATCTGCTCGAAAAATAATAATTTACCCCGGTAGTGCGTTACAAATAAGCACAAAAGAGCTTTAAACATACCTGTATAATAAAGAGGTCCTAAGATAAATCCTGAACCAGTTCCCGCCGAATACGCGGCTACCGTAACTTTCTCGTAATATGCAGTCAAGGTAAAAAACGACACTTCCCCAATGCCGGCCCCCAGGGACGTTGTACAGATTCCAACTAACTTGAGATAAACCTCTTTAGCGTAGACAATTATAAACAGACCAGCTGTAAAAAAAGCGTAAATCGCCACTATTCGAACAACATAAGGTACTTTGTGAATGAAATAGGGCGCGATCATCGTCACAAGAAAATACGGACCAACATTTGTTACTAACACGGCCGCCGTCGGAATAAAAGTACCCGCCAAAATGTCCTGCGCGCCTGAAATGATGACAGAATACACTGTGTAAATGAGCGCCCCGAAAGCGTAGAAAGCAAAAAGATTCCGTAACGGCTCTTTCTTTGTCTTTGCAGCTTTTATTTCTTTGCTTCCGTTGTTTTCCTCGTTTTCCTTGTCTTTCGTAGGGTTTTCCTCCGGGTTTTCTTCGCCTTTCTCAGCAGTGTTCTCCATTTTGAGCTTCTTCAAAGTCGACCACTAGCAATTAGGTTCCTCTTGGTTTGCTTTCCTTCCCTTTAACTGATAAATCGGAAGCTTCGATATAATATTAAACTTGTGGGAGCGTGATTTTCACGATGAGAGCGATCAAAGCCAAGAAACGTTTGACTCTCACGTCATGGTACACAACTCGTCAATAAAATTTTGATTGTCCAAGGACACATTCCGTTGGCTTACGTTATACAACCTGGTGGCCACAAAGAAACAAGAAACAAGGGTTGGATCTTGATCAAACTTGAATGTAAGATTTTTAGCTGGTAATTCAAGATAACCCCGTTTCTTTGCGACTCAGTAACCCGCCAACCGTGAAGAGAGTCTTCCTTCTGGTTTGGACTTGGAAATGGTGGTAAATCTCCAGATGTTAAAATACTTGAGCTCTCCAAGGTTCTCTAATAATCGCTGACGTTTTGATCAAGGAAAAACAAACTAATGACAGTTTAAACAGGTGGCAAAAGTCCACCAGCTGAACGGACTAAACTGCAATGGCCGACATGAATTATGGGGGATTAAAGTAAATTTGCTTCGACCGTGACGAATTTCGGACAATTTTGGACAAGACCTACCTAAACTATCGACAAAGCACAAAGTTTCGCTGTGATTTGGCTCTGTTATAGAAAAGACTAAAAATTGCAAAAGAACTGAATTGAGCTCTCCTACCAGTTCCCCGCTGTAGTGAACATGCCAGGAACCAGCTTTGCCTTGAAGAGGTGTTCATCTTAGAGGAAAATAAACGAACTAAACTGGTGTATTTCAAGGACTTTCTTGTGCTCGGTGCTTACTCTCAGGAGGCATGGGTCGAAAGAAAGCTGACTCTACCAGCAAGCAAATCAGGGTAATATGATACTCGAAAACAATAGCCTCTGTTTAATTTAATTTACAAACTGCGGTGATTCAAGCATATCAACATTTGTATTGACTGCATAATTATTATTATCATGTTCAGTTCTTTTTACAAACAAATGTCAGGATGTTCTCGAACAATTTTCCGCAGTGGAGCAAAAACATTTCGGCTACAGGTCCTTCAGGAGGCCAACATTTACTTCTTATAAACTCTACCCCTAATGGACTGTACCATCTCGTCATTAGATACAGTCCCTTTTGCCCCAGTGAGAAGACTAAACGCCATATGAACTCTGCCTACATTATCATAACAGACAGCTTCCTTGTTCCAAGAACTACCACACCTTATTTGGTACGGTAAAATGCATTCCGCAACATAGACACTTCTTTTTTAAAAACGCTTCTCTGCGCTTCAATCGGTATTTGAGTTAATTATAATTTTAGAGACGCAGTTGTCTTCATGAGACAATTCCTAAACCTAGAGTGAAACTACCTGCACCTGCGGGTTGTTTATATGTAGCACCAACCTGTAACTGTTGAAAACGATCGGTGAATTTTGCCCTATTTGTTTGTTTGTTAGTTGTTTTGTTTGTTTGTTTGTTTGTTTTACACTTGTATTGATTGGAGCAAACAGACCATATAACAGCATTGAATCAAACAGACCATACAACAGCAATTGCAAATTTAAATTTAAGCAAAGCGGATAGCTATGTTAAGTTATTTTTGTGTTCCCTGTTGGGAAACAATTACAAATCTATTTCGTTCGAATCCATTCTGGTTTGAATCAGTACTATCCTAAGTGAACCCAGTCAAAATTAATGCTTGAAAAAATTCTCTTGCTGTCGTTGTTTGCTTTGTCTATTTACAAACTCCACCTCCCTGCAAACGAGTGAAACAAAAGCTGCTATTTGCTGCCACACTTAAACAGTGACGACGCAACCACGGCTCGATCAGCAATCCTAACAAGCCAGCGGTAATCGCCCCAGCGCCAGTCGCAGCAGAGGCGTACCCCAGAACAAACTCTCTGGATTTCGGCTCCTCGATTTCAGAATAAATCGCTAACATATTTACGTACATAACGCCAATTACCAGACCACCGATGAAGGCAAGAACCAAAACTATAGAAACGTCACTTAAAAAGCGGTACCAAGCCGCCAGCAAGAAGAAAAGTAAAATTCCTATCTCTGCTACAGCAAGAAACCATATTCTGCGTATGGTTAGCTTTCGAGCTACATTCGGCATGAGATACGACAAAACGATCAAATACGATCTACCGAACAGTTCCCCGAACAGGAAAACGAAGATATAATACTGATAGTGGTCGCGAGGTGGAAACGGAGCGCTCGGGAACGCTATCGTGGTGATGACGGATTGGATGATCAGATATTCTGCAATCCATGCACTGATTATGGAAGCAATGATCGGTAGCACACTTTTGATCGCTGAACATTTTTCCTTCCAAGTTAAATGCTCGTCACCGATGTCTGTTTCCTGTTCCTCGATAGGTGAATATTGAATGTCCTTGTGAGTGATTCCGTTTGCTGTAGACTGCCAAGACTGAGAGTGCTTTCGCTCCATCAGACCGTAGAATATCAACAGCAACACCAAACTGACAGCCATGATAGAAATGGTCAAGGGGGGAGACACACAAGCCCATGTTGTCATGGCTGTGGAATAGAGAGAAATCGTGCTCAGTCCTTCATAGAATAAAAATAAAAATGCACCACTGAGTTATAGAGGCAGCGTCCACACTACGTCGGAGGAATTTGAAAACGCAGCTTTATTTCTACGGTTAGGCCTACCGTCCACACTAATCCGTTACGAAAACGGAGCTTTTCAAAAATGCTCTTCAAACCGGAAGAATTTGGAAACGCAGGCTGTTCGTAGGGGTGTGGACGGAAAACATTTTGAAAACGGAGCTTTTCGAAACGATGGCATCGCGATAATCATGTGATTTCGACCGAGTTTTCCTCAAACACAAATCCAAAACGACCAGTTATTGTTGCGTTTCAAATTTCTCCGGCTTAGTGTGGACGGAAAACATTTGATGCGTTTTCAGTGTGAAAGCTCCGTTTTCAAATTCCTCCGGCATAGTTCGGAAGGGGCGTTAATCAACAAAGTTTGAATAAGAACATCTGTGGCATGTTTTAGTTCCTTGGCGTAAATTAGCAATTATTCAGTGAAGTGGAGGTGAATAGTACTTTGCTTATCACCTCCGAGTTAACCAATCAGAAGGCTGGTGGTATATTGGAGAAATTCGTGCGAAATATTACTGACAAAGCCTTGTTTGAAATTAAACCAAATTGAATGACAAGCGATCGTGACCAACATTATAATTCATGATTCTATTAACTTTTTCACCTGCATGAATTTTAGGGAATTTAAAATTGATTTTAGCTGATTTCTGCAAACTGTTTTCGGGATCATTTCAAACACAAAAAAAGAAACGTTAGGCAATTGCTTCTTGTTATAATTATTAGATATCTTCCATTGATTAGCAATACAATATAGACAGAACTGAAAGGCTGGAAACACCTTTATCAGTAAGATGCCGTGTATAATAGATCGACAACACTGTATTATTATTTTCAACTCACGTATATTACTCCTGCAACTTTTTGACTTGTGACAGTGCATTTTGAGTCCGCAACTCAAAGTTTTAATTTTCTTAACTTATAAATCATTTTTTAAACTCATTCAAAAACCCTGTGACTGCCCGAACGGATAATAAGTTAACCGAATTTCGGGCTGGCAATACACTGGAACAATAAAATACAATATTTGCATCGGCCACAGTTCAATTGAGTCACATTAGAAGTTAGTAAAAACTATGATGCACATAAAGTAAATAATGGTAAGAATAGTTAGTCTTATAAACAAGATACCTGTGTAATATAGGGGCGCTAGTGAAATACCAGTCCCTGTACCGGCTGAGAAGGCGCTAACTGCCGTATCATGGTAGAAAGACGTCATGGCTATGAAAGATAACTCCCCTAAACCAAATCCAAACGAAGATAATGAAACCCCCAACAATCTCACTCCAACTCGCTTGGCTGTGGCCACCATGATAAGTCCTGTAGCCTCAAGAAAAAATATGGCCATCACACGGGGGAAATACGCGATTTTTTGGATGAAATACGGAGCCACCACAGTGATGACAAAATATGGTCCGACGTTGGCAACCAGCACGGCTGATGTGGGAACAAATGTTCCTGCAAGAATGTCTTGAGCACCCGATATTATCAGTGAGTAAATCGCATAAATCAAGAAGCCGAAAATGTAGAAAGCAAGGATTGTTACTGGTTTTTCTTTCGCTTGGTGATTTTCCTCTTTAGCGGGGAATAACTCCATCTCTGTCGTTTCACGTTCTGTTGTTTCGTCTGCCATCCCTTGCTATTGCTTGTGGTTGACTCCGCCGACGTCTTTCGTGGAACAAAGAAATGATTTTATCCGGCACTAAAATAAATCTCTAAGGTTTAGGCCAGTGCATCGTTTAAAGAGGCGCTTTCTTGAAAACAAATCTCACCGGCAACAACGCCGTTTCTGTAGCTTGGCGGCTTGACTTGACTGTACCAAGATTAAACATCTGACTCCTGTTAAAACGCACATATGCAAATTAGGTTAGCCAACAGAGACCAAAAACAATTTGGGTTTATTTACATTTGGTATTTGCCCCTAGTGAAAAATGCCGGATTCATATTCAAAGAAACCACGCATTTCGATTACAACTAACCACTGTTTCTTGATAACATCTTACTTCCATCAAGGTGGTCAAATCACTGAAATGAAAAAAGAAAACGCGCCCGACGATAATGCTAGTTTTCGTTTATGTTTTTGAATAGTATAAGCCTATTTTAGTACGAAAAACCTACCAACTATTTAAGGAAATGGAGACGAATTACATTTGGTTTAGAAGTCTGATCATTTTTTAGTCAATCAGCGAACACCTGTTAATTCTTCACAGAAACTAAAACCACCTGCTTAGCTGTTTCCAGAGTCAGCGTGAGTTCTTGCACATTGATTCTCACCGGCTCATACAGTTTGTTCAACCTGCAAAAAGTCATCTGACAGTATGATTTTACTGCCGAATTTTGTAGGGATTTTTCAAATAGCTTCCGCTAGGCCCTGTAAAAAAACATCGACCTCAAATCTCTCCAAACAAACATTTGATTTGCTTGGCTTAAAAAAAAAATTTCGCATTGGATTGTTGACTTCAAACATACTTATACCTGCAATTTGACTGATTGAATTTTTAAAATACCCAGCAGCCAAATTGCACGAGAAAAACAGTCACCCCTGGAAGTTTTACTCGTTAATGTGGAGAAATTCTGAGTTGCAGTGAGATGGCAGACATCAGTGCTCGTACGTACCTGCGACAGGCGCAGGTTCACAGTCACAATATTTTTAATCCAGGATTAAAATTTACTGAAGGTTCAATTTTCTTATTAAAGCGTAATTTTCACTGATGGCTTAAAGTCAAACTTTTTGATTTACCTGAAGATAGAAATGAAGTTTTTTTTAAAACAAAATTAACTAAAAGAAAGCTATGAAGCTGAATTCAAAGCTGACGAGACTTGTGGGCCAGCTTTGAGTGGCTTAGATATCAGCTGGACCGGGTTGTTCGAAAGCCGGTAAACGCTAACCAATGATTGAGGTATTAATTTCTCTGGTATAAAAATGTTTTTCACTGTTTAAGTTGTGTAGTTCGAGATTATTCATGTTCAAAAACTGAAGGACAAACAATATAAACAAAAAACCTCACCGGAAAAATGCAAAACTGAAATCAAAATTCCCACTAATTCCTAGGTTAGCTTAATTGGGCTTTGAACAACCCAGCCCTCACACGATTGTCCAAACAGCCGATACCTTTTATATAGTGGGAAAAACAATCAAAATAATCAGTTCAATGTTTACAATTACTTTAGTGGCTGACGTTTATTCTTAGTTAAAGAATTGTTTTGTTTTTGGTGTATTCGAGGTGTATTCGAGAATGAAATGCTAGGCTGATGAAAAAAATCATTAAACCTTAACTAACCTTGGCTTTGATGTACGAGAGGTTTCTCAGTTCTGTTTAATCTGTGATAATTCTATGATGTATCCCAAGACAGTATGCAGTTGCAAACTGTTCAATCCACATCTGTCAAGAACATAGATTTGGATTTTACAGCCTGTTGGCTCTTTATTTGACGAAGAACTGTTTTCCAACCACGCCTGTTACGTCATTAATCGGAATCGAATTCCATGGCATGTAGCGCGTGAATAGTTCAGTCTTGTCCAGCTTTCAACTCAGTTCATTTTATCCGTTAAGGTCTTCAACAGAGCGGGAACTGCAACTTCCCTATGCCTCGACTTCAGTAAATTTCGTGTGACACGAAAACCACAATAAAGGTGAAAGGTGAAAACGGTGTGGAGAAATTTGAAAACGCCGGTTTTTCGTTTTCGTGTGGACGGAAAGCATTTTGAAAGCGGAGCTTTTAGAAAACGATGACGTCACGATGATCATGATGTTCCCCTGATCGAGGTTTCCTCAAACACAAATCCAAAATCACCAGTGATTGTTGAGTTTTTTAATTCCTCCGGCGTAGTGTGGTGGGTGGAGCATAAATTTCGAATTCCAAGTAGCGCCAGCCGTGCAATAAACAGTTTCCAAGAAGCCTCTGTCTCAAAATGATCGAGTGAGTCATGACTCGTCTTGAAACAGTTGTTGTTCCTGAAAAGCCCCATTGGGGAGGTAACAATAAAGTATGTATGTATGTATGTAAACAGAACTTGGAAAATGGCCTGTTAGTGAGAGTTCATAAATGAGTGAATGATAAACTTATTGACTCAATTCGCTGAGTAACGAAAATTATGATAATTATTATAACGAAAAAGATCAAACCGACAGTAACCAAAAACGTTTCTTTTTAAGACCTGCCTCACCCGGGAGAGATAACACGAGACGAAAATAGTTTTGATTTGACTGGAGTTCTGGTGATACTCAGTCCTGACGAGTGTAGTTCAGTAGAAAAATAATAGCAAATGACAAACAATTGTATGTACGTGACAACGGCTTTTTAATCAGTTAATCAGGTTATTTTAGTACATGTTGAAGTAAAACGAGCTAAGGACTTTGATCTTGTAAAGCAAAAGTCGCTGTTATTTGTAAACATTGTGCAATGCTCGCGTAAGATAGGCTCAACGTAAAGGCCTAACAAAGCAGAAGCAAAAATGCCCCCAGTTATGGCCACAGGAAAGAATCCCATGGCGAACTCCTTATCACGGTCCTTGAAGCTATCCCTAAAGTACGTTATTGCATTAACATAGGTAACACCAACCACTGCAGCGCTGGCAAATACCAGCAGCAAAACGATCCACACACTCGGTAAAAATCGGTACCAGGCCGCCAGGACGAGGAGCAAAAGAAGCATGGCTTCTATCATCGAAAGAATCCAAAGATACGGGAATTTAGCTTTTTCTGCCCATTCTGGTTTGACATAGGACAACGCCACAAGATATGACCTTCCAACCACCGCTCCCCCCATGAAAACAAAGATGTAATACTGATAGTGGTCACGTGGTTTGAAGGGAGCGTGGGGAAAAGCTAGGGTTGTAACGACAGATTGAATGATCATATATTCTGAGAACCATGCGATAAAAATCGACATCAGACCAGGCAGCATCTGACGAATGACCATAAATACTTTTGGAAAAGAGAAAGGGCCACCATCATTGCTGTTCTCCTCTGCTGATTCTACGCTGTTGTCGTCGTCTCTTTTGGAGTTCTGACATCCATCATCTGTTAAAGCATGACAAGTTGTTAGTTTTGACAAGAGTAAGCAATGTCCATAATTTCAATACTAGACTTGCAGCTAAATAGTCTTACCATCTTCCTTATGCAAAAACTATGGTAAGTTTAACATTCGGTTTGAAGGCCCCTCAATTTAGAATTATGATATAAACTTATTATCCTTATCTATGTTCAAGAAAAGGATAAAAGATCAATATTTCGAAAAATACTAGGAGCACTTGCATTATAGATCTGTAAGGTTGTTCTGGTCTATTTCTTTCTATTAGCTTTTATTTGCTCTACATTCCCCCTATTCTATGGCATTACCAAATGTTCTAGTATAGTACTTACTTATTGCTCACTATGTGTTCTGTGTGTGTGTGTGTGTGTGTGTGTGTGTATTAATACATCTGTAGACCTGGCTACCTGCCCTTTTTAACTCTTTAGTTACTTCAGGTAGCCAGGACCCTAACTCTAGTGATATATAATTTTGTAAAAATATTTGTGTTAAACCAAGGGAATTAAAGCTTGTTGTTGTTGTTGTGCTAATCAAATGGAAATTTGACTAAGCCAATCACTCTAAATTCTCTTAGTCTTGCTTGGGACTGCATTATTTGGTGTTCTAACTTGCCTCTGTAGCCTGGACGCCTTATGGAAGGCTATCTACTTTTCATAATAATTAATTCAGTCTTTTTGGTTCACGATTGCTTTAACTAGTTTACTCACTCTTCTCCCCGCAGCGATGAGCCAGCAATTCAAGGAGTTCCCCACCCCCTCTCCTGACAGGCTTGAGTCGAGTTTGCCATATCTTACCTAATCTAAGGCATTTTGTGTGTGTGTTCCTAGTTAGGATACTCTATTGTTGAATAACAAAGAATGGTAGGTTTTCCACCCCGGTAACTTTTTGAAGTGCAAATTTGGACTTAAATTTGCAAAAGTTCCAGTTTCCGAGTGACCGGCCGTTAAAGAGAGAAACTGGGTTAAGCGAAGTGCAATCACGATGGCGCACCAATAATATTATCATAATAGTCATCCTCATAATTGTGGCTTAAATGTTTCGGAAAGGGAGCATATGGTCCAGTTCATACGGTCTACCAGTTTTAAGTCATGCTTTAGAGCGTTTTTATACTCGGAAAATCTCGCCGGAGCTTAAAAGTGTCTCTTCGTGGAGGCGCGGTGGCTTCATGGTTAGTGCGCTCGTCTCCGAGCAGTATCGAGCAGTCCGGGTTCGAGCCCTGGCCGCGAAATAGTGTTGTGTTCTTGGACAAGACACTACTCTCACAGTGCCCCTCTCCACCCAGGTGTATAAATGGGTACCGGCAATCATAATGCTGGGGTAACCCTGCGATGGACTAGCATCCCATCCAGAGGGAGTAGAAATACTCCTAGTCGCTTCATGCTACAGAAACCGGGATAAGCTCCGGCCTGATGAGCCACTTATGGAGACTTTACCTTCAGTGCCTATCCCCGTATATTTCATGCTGGAGGAAAACCAGCTTTTGCAAGACCCGGCTGGTGTGGATATTTATTTCAGCCGAAAATATTTTACCTTGAGTATTAAGGACACTGTACTCTACTACGGCATGTTCCTCCGTTGGTGGACTGGGGGACTCTAAATGCTTCTTGTCCATGACGTAGTAGCAAACAAAGCCCAGAAACAACATGGCCGCCATGATTAAAATTGTGGCATTTGGTGAAACACAGGCCCACGTTGTCATGGCTACAAGACAAGAATAATAAAGCTTAAACAATGTTGCTTTTTCAGATAAAAAGTCTCCAAGAAGTAGAAACGTTCTCCGAAGGTAATTTTTGTAATAATTGTTTTACTTTACCACTTTTTTAAAAAGTACTTAATACATAAGCGATGAATTGGCTTCGGCTCAACTGCCGTAAACCTTAAAGCTCTATCAATTCGGCCACTCAGCAATAGAAAAAGTATAGGTGTTGTTCAAATTTTTACGCTTCAACAAGACAGGATAAATATTAGGAGAGCTAATCCCCCATACAGGCATTTTTCCCAAACTAAGGTAAATCAGTTTCAAACTATTTTTAGATGACTCGTGGTTTCGGAAATCCTAGAAGGGCGTAGAAATAGCTAATCACGTGACGCAGATTTTGTTGGGGGCAAATCGTGGGACTGCTGGAGTGATGACTCATTCAACAGCACGCTAACCAGTCCTATAATAATAAAAAATTGAATGAAATACTGGCGCTTATTTCAACGTATAAACACTCACCTGTGTAATATAGGGGAGCTATCACAAATCCTGCACCCGTTCCGGCAGAAAAGGCTGTCGACGCTGCTTCGTGATAAAACGACGAGAGAGCCAAAACAGTGATTTCACAAAAATTGCTTCCAAACGACACAATCCCAACTCCGATTAATTTCCAATGAACTTGCTTGGCAAACACTAGCATGAGAAAACCACCGATTCCCGTACAACAAAACGTCATTATGCAAGCAATATACGGAATGTTATGCATGAAATAAGGCGCGATTAAAGTAACAAGAAAACCCGGTGCAATCAATGCGATGAGAGATATAGAAGTTGGAATTGACGTTCCCGCTAGAATATCTTGAGCACCAGCAATGACCAAGGAATATGTTGCGTAAATCAAAGTTCCAAAAATGAAAAACGCTGTGATTGTGCGCAGTCGCTCGCGTTCCTGTCCGTTGCTGAGTTTAATCCCATCACAGTCGTTAGCTACTGACAGAGCTGCTGTTTGGCTTCTGCTGGATTCCGACATGTTCCAATTTTACGCGAAAAAGTAGTGGCGCTTTTGTAACTGCCAACGTCCTAGAGAAGTAAGCGTACAGAGTACACAGCTCTGAAGGACGCCAGTCTTTGCCATAATTGAATCGTTCCATCTGACTAGTGAAGTATTCAAATTCTTCAATCACTGCACATGAACCAACACATTTGTATAATCACTGACTATTATGTTTTCCCTGACTTGCGATGCAGTGGGACGTGTCGCTCTTTTAATTAAATGGTCTGTATCCCGGCGGTTTCCACTGCTTATCACGCAGGCTAGTTCTCCCTTAATCGAAAGCGCATTGAATTATTCAGAATAAAGAACATGTCTTGGTTAAAGAGAGAGAAAATTACACATTTTTCTAAGGAAGAAGCAAACTTCACTCAGTACTTAAGTAAATGTCCAAAGCTGCGTAAATAGATGCTTTATACCTGTGTTGGCAGAAATAATGAAGATTGCTTAGATTGTACTGAAGACTTTGGTTTTATTGTTGTTTCTTCTGCTAGCCCAAACCGGTCACCAAATGACTCTAGATCTAGTGACCCGCGGGGTCAGCCAGTCGGGTCATTACCTCGTGTGGTATGGGAAGACACCTTTTACCCACAGTGCCACTGTTCACCCACGAGTTTCAATGAGCACCGACCAGCTGTTATGGAAACACGAAAAATGCTGAGCTACACACAGCATCTCATCCAGAGGTGGGGAGGGGGAGGAGGGAGCAGCACTACTCACTACTCCTCTAGATTCACTTCTACAGAAACGTTTATCCGGGATAAATCAGTTCATTTCATCCGTAAGGTTTCCAACAAAGAGGAAACCTCGAAGGCCTTGCTGGCATCATCCCCGTGTCCTCAACTTCGGTAATTTCGTGTGACGTGAAAACCAGAATAAAAAGATCGCGCCACGCGCAATGCATTACGCTGATAAAATTTGAAAACGCAACATTATTTCTACGGTAAGGTCTACCATCCATGCTAATCCGTCACAAAAACGGAGCTTTTTCAAAACGGAGAGAGGAAACTTGAAACGCGGGCATTTCGCTTTCGCGTGGACAGAAAACATTTTGAAAGCGGAGCTTTTCGAAAACAATGACGTCACGATAATCATAATATTCCCCTGATCGAGGTTTCCTCAAACACAAATCCAAAATGGCCGGTGATTGTTGAGTTTTTTAATTCCTCCGGCGTGGTGTGGACGTGGCCAAAATTTTCAAGTAGCGCCAGCCGTGCAATAAGTACTTTCCAAATCGTCTTCTTCCTCTGTCTCAAAATGATCGAGTGAGTCATGACTCGTTTTGAAACAGAACTTGGAAAATGGCCTGTTAGTGAGAGTTCATAAATGAGGGAATATGATTAATTTATTGACTCAATCATTAAGTAACGCAAATTATGATAATTGTCACAACGCGGAGAAAAAGATTTTCATTCTAAAGATGATTTCCGCTTAGTTTGTCAAAATCGATCGCAACCAAACAAGTTCCTTTGAAGGACCAACCTCACCCGGGAGGGATAACACAAGACCACAATGATTTCTACTTGTCTCGAGTTGAGGTGATACTCAGTCCTGACGAGTCTAGTTCAGTAGAAAAATAATAGCAAATGACAAACAATTGTATGTACGTGACAACGGCTTTTTAATCAGTTAATCAGGTTATTTTAGTACATGTTGAAGTAAAACGATCTAAGGACTTTGATCTTGTAAAGCAAAAGTCGCTGTTATTTGTAAACATTGTGCAGTGCTCGCGTAAGATAGGCTCAACGTAAAGGCCTAACAAAGCAGAAGCAAAAATGCCCCCAGTTATGGCCACA